GGGGGGGGGGGGGGGGGGGGGGGGGGGGGGGGGGGGGGGGGGGGGGGGGGGGTAGGACAGGGAGGAAGAGGTACGGGAGGACGGGGAATATGGGTCCACAGGCTGTTATCGCCTCCTCAAGCAGCCACAGACTGAATCATCAACTCAGTCTGGTTTTGGATAGTGCCGTGTCCGGCAGCATAGTGCCAGTCAAACCTCTGGGCACCTACATGTACCGCACTTAACAGGGCCCTCCACTGATCTACCACCAACACCACCGAGTAGACACGTATATGACACAACACTCGACTTTCATGATCGACGAAGGAAACGGACGACTGAATCATTTTGGCGACGAAACCCAACAAAAAAAACGATCAAACACAAACATCGAATATGATAAAAGAGATAGGGAAAAAACCATTCTTCGAAGGAGCAACAACAAAACTCGCGTGCTTTCCTTCCTACTTGCGTAACCCCTTGCGGGCGCGTCCACACAACGCAATGCACCGAAGGAGGCATCGTAGTTCTGACGTCCAGAAGTGACAGAATGACAACACGCACACGAAACGGGTCAAGGCGTCCTCGTGCCTTCCCACATCCACATCCTGGAAAAAAAAAATGGCCAACCCAGGGCAACGAGGGGTTCCTCGCTTGTTTCAAACATCATCAACACGGGGTTTCGCGTCGGGTCGGGTCGGGTCGGGTCGCTTACCTTTCTGAACAAGCGCTTTGATCCCCCTCCGGCGCTCATTGGGTAGTAAATGTACACGTTGTGGTCCTCCGCGTCTACCGGCTTTTCCACGAACGGCTTGTGCACCGTCACGCTGTTGACCTTCGCGTACAATTCAGGACAAAACAAAGGGTATGTGTACGTGTAGCGGTGGAGTGACGGAGGCACGCAGCAGTTAGTACACGCGGTATTCTCCAGACTCAGTGGTGCGGGCATCGCATCCAGATATAGGCTTCTTCGACACGTGCGGCAACCAACCAGCTATTCCACGACACGCTCGTGGGCCCTCAGGTTCGGAGACACATGCGCACACATCCTCCTCGGCACAGCAACGAGGAAGCATCGGTTGCGGCTTGACCCTCGGACGACTTGCTCGACAGTGTGCCTCTTGCTTTCTCTCATCGACAGGGTACCTAGTTTTCTCCTCTCATACCCAGCGCACCCATTGAACAGGACGTCCCCAGTACGCCCGGAACAAGGACCAAACAACAATACAACCGTAAGTCCGCCGGACAACCACACACATTCTCTGGTCTTGCTGCCATGACGACTTGCGACGCAAACGTAACCTCGTGTCACGTACGAAATGTACCCAGCAACATAGTAAGACGTAGCCACCGCTAACGACCCTGGGACTTTAGAACCCCAGGCTAAGTACATGCCCGTGGGCGTTCATGATCCTGCCCTCAAGGACAGGTGCTCAGTTGAGAACACGACAGTACAACTTATAAGGTCGCTGTTAGGGTACGCGTCAGAACAGGGGATAAGATACACGAACCTCGAGCAACCACAAGCGGTTCTCAACTAAATTTAACAGTTGTAAGGGATGGCGTGTTCTGCGATGCCCCAACACCAAGAGAACAAGAGGCAAGTCCCAACTAGACCGGCCTCTCTACAGCAGTGCCCCCATGATGGCGTCGAGGCAAACCAACCGACTGAGAGGCACAAGAAGGTGTCACGCGAAGCTGCAATACCAAGCAACCCAAACCTAACCTGGATGTAGTCGTCCGCCTCCACAATGTCGAGCTCCTCCAGCTTCTGCCCGCCATAACTTTTGGCCCGTCCCGATGACAAGGAATAAAAAAATGTGAACACGAACGGCAGACAGAGTACCCGCGACGGACACGGAGTGGGCACGTTCCATGTCAGGAATACAAGGGCAACAGCAGATGGGACGACCAGGGTCAACAGAACGAGGTACATAACCGAGAGGAAGGTGCTGCTGCAAGGAACGTGGTGTCTGTATCAAGCGGGCTACCGCTTGCGGGGACCCCAGATCCGAGTAAGACACACAGTGGTGCAATGCGAGGGTGGGGACCCCGCCTTCCCTCAGACAACAGCAAGAGCAGCAAGCAGCAGCAGTGACAACACACAGCAGGAGCAGCAACACTAGTGACAGCACAAACATCGACTGGAGACAGTCACAACATCAGCAACCACCACCACTGCCAACACCACCGACAGGAACCAACATACCCATCTCTGCTGGCGTAGACGCTCTCCGGATGTGGTACCCCTTGGCTCTCCAGCAAGTCGTACACCTTTCACAATCCAACGCGACGTTTTCGCCATTGGTTGGTAGATCCGAACCCCCCCCCCCAAAGAAAGCGCGAGAAAAAAAAAAAAATGGGTTTGTAGAGAGAGAGCGAGCGTGGAAAGGGAGGGAGGGGGCGGGCGGAAGAGGAGTGTGAGAGACGGAGAGAAATAGAAAAACGTCGTGCATACTGAGAGTCGAGGCGAGAGAACGACAAAACGAAAAACAACGCGAAGGCGTGCTAGTGTGAGGGATAGGGATGTAGGGAGATGCAGAGAGAGATGACAAACAGGACAAGGCAGACAGAAAAGGTTGTGACTTTAGGATTTTCGTCTTGAGCATGTGGCCGGCCCGCAGCAGCTCCCCACGCGCGACACCACCACCATCACCAGCAACAACAACTACCACCAACTACCACCAGCAACAACAACAACAGCAGCAACAACAACAGCAGCAAAAACAACAACCAACGAACAACATATCAACCACCAGCAATAACATCCAACACATGTGCAGTGAAGATCGCCAGCTCACCTTTCTGCGGTCGTGCAAGACGTCCTGCATCTCCAGGTTGTTCAGGGCGTAAGGCCTTCGGAGCTTCACGTAGGCCTTGGCCTTGTCGCTGGGGAAACCGTGAGAGTAGAAGGCCACGAGGCAGTCGCACAACGGCCACTCCTCCACAGGAGCCTCCATGATACAAGCGTCTCCGAACACGATCACCTGGAATGGAGTGGAGCAGGTCGGAGTGGGGTCCGCGGCCTTTGAAGGTTTCAGGTCCGAACGGGGTCACGTGGCGTCCGGCACAACTGCTGTCCGTTGGGGAGGGCATGGTTTTCTTGTGCTGCTCTTTGGAAAGTAGACGCCCGCACACACGAAATGACGACCCGTTCGAGACGACACCACAAAACCTCAAAGGGATTCATGTTCATCTTCACAGTAGCCGGGGGGTGGGGGGCGATATATGGCGGTGGTGGCGCAGCTGCAAGAAATGGTTGCCGTCTCAACCGCTTTTTCGGCGAAGAAAGGCGGCCCCGTATCTTGCTTTGAAGAATGAACCAGTAAGGCGGCTACCGCTCGCCCTGTTGAGAACGCACCGGGCACTGTAACGTGCGGTACGAGCGAGGCCCGAGGGAGCCGCATCACTCGTCGTATTGTCGTCATCGCTAGCCTCAGTCACCCTTTGGCCGTCATCCCAAGGCCACGCTAGTCCTCCGGTGCGGCCGCACTACTGTAGCCCGCTGATCGACTGCTGTGGATGGCTTGTCTGTTGTTGGTCACTTGTGTTCTATTCAACTACTGTTTTTTCTACCGTACTCTCTTGATAAACCCAGTCGGAATCAGAACATTTCCAGGCGCATTGGCACTGAAGGCGCTCTTGCCACAGATGAGCATGTTCTACACGAACCAGTCCATAACATGATAAAATGTTCAAGGAACCCGTTTGTATGTTTCTTTCCGGTGACTATTCATGTGGCCATAACACCAGACAGTGTCAGCAACTGTATCCAGGAAAGGTATAGTTCTTGCTTGTCTCATCGGCCAATAAGAGGAAAAATTGAGTCCTTTGCTCGATGTTCCCAAAATTTCAGGGGGGTTATTAACCCGATGTTGCTAGCCCACCCCATTGTGCATGTGGTTGTAAGTGTGTGTGTGGCGTTCCATTCGTTCTGGACGTCGCAGCAGGCTGAACACCGAGGCAAAATAAAGTCTTCGCCTTGTGCCGTATTTAGTACCCCACGCCCGCCTCTGTAGGTAAACACCAAAGCTAGCTTCCATCCCCATTCGCGCATTTGGTGGTTTGAGAGGGTGGGGGGGTATTCCATGTTAGACCGTCGCACGCGACTCGCGACACCCAGCGACTTCACAACTTTTTAACGAACGCTGGCTGGCCGTGCATGTTTTTTTTTGTGCTGGATGAGCACGACTCCGTGGGGAGGCGTGGGACGACTCTCCTGCCCGCAACCCTTCAACCCCCAGCACTTGGAAACACAAATAATGTCACGCAAGAACATGTACGCTAAAATCATGTGCATCTATATCATTGACCCGTTACAGGGCATACCCCCCGGCTGTTCATCCAAAGGACATGCCACGTTCCGTGAAAGAACCCTGCATGTCCAGAAAGAAAACTTGCGAGAGGCAAAACACGTCATTAACACGCCCCCACGCCCCGCTGCTTCGGCTCCTCTCCGTGAATAACAAACGGCCAGAGAAACGATCGTCGGGATTCTCTCTGGGAAAAGAAGAACAATCTCCGGTGATGACCAATGCTAAATATTATTTACATGTCCACACGAAGACCGAACATACAAACATGACGACAACGGCGGATCCAGAGGGGGATCGGGAGTTGGGTGTGTGCATGTAGAGTTTGGTCCCCTGAATTATGTTTGAAGTTCGGCCGCGCTGCGGTGGGAACCTTCCTCTTTTCGGCGTCGCCCGCAGGGGGAAAACGTGTGCAGCTACAAGGTGCTTTCGGGCACAACGAGCCGCGAGGAATGATTGAAGCTGTCTTTTGCCGGTGATCGATTTTTAAGCGGCATTCACGTAAAACAGCCGTGCCGTTCCTTTGCTCTGAAAAAAATGGAAACTTCTCATAGATGACATCTACCGTTCCGACTGACGGGACGCCTTCCGTGGCCGCATGCCCAGTACACAACGAAAACTGTGCCACATCCGGTCCGTATGTTCATACGCATGGCGCGCGCCAGGATGCAACTGCTGCAGACTATGTAAGGGACTACGTGGTGCTCAGCAGCAGCCGGCCGCCCCCCCCGCCTGCAGGTCGGCGTTCTCGATTGCCGTCGCATTTGTATTTGCTTCGCCTTGGGCCCATCCATTTAGACTAGACTAGGTAGAGCCGTGGTGCCAGTGCACACAATGCCTTTCGGTGTCATGGTGGACACAACAGCCACGGTCATGCGGGCGGACGGTAGGACAGGTGGACTACAAAACAGGGGTATATATATATATATTGGTGAAAAAACTCACTAGTTCGCTATGTAATAAGTACGAAGTTGTTCATAAAGAGGACAAGCAATGTGGCGAAAGGGGATCACCGAGGCAGTAGCACTATTTACGCAACATGAATGAATAATTCATGTGGTATAGTCAATACAGTACTAGGCCCGCTATAGTGCCGATTGAATAGTGCCCATGCCCGGCATAGTGCCGGTAAAATCTCTGGACACAGAAAGCGCCCTCAATTGTGCCGGTTCGGCACTATTGAGGGAGGCCCCTCTATAGTGCCGATTGGGCACCACGGCGCCCCGCAATAGTGCCGATTCACACACACACGCCAGCTGACACACACACACACAAAGACAGCGGACACACGCAACACAGAGGGTACACGTGCTGCTGCAGACCCGAAGAGTTCTACGCAGAGGCGCACCATGCCTTGTGCGGAAGGTGAACTGTGCCTTCAACAAGACAGGACGCCGCAACCCCCTCATGGCCACCCCTGCAAGGGAGGATGTGGCGGGCGGCTCCACGGCAATTGCGGCAGCGTGTTTGAGGACAACGAGCAGCACCGCATCTGCAGCACGTGTGTCGCCAGGACTAGCAACTTCTGCCGCAGTGAGGGAGTGGGTGGAAGACTTCAAGGCAGGCGATCGGTGGGCGAAGAACTTCGTGAAGCGCAACAAGATCCTGAGCGTGAGACTTCACGGCGAGGGTGGTAGCGTCGACAAGGAGGCCATCAGGGAGGACATGGAGGAAATCAGGGCCCTTTGCGAGCAGTACCCGGCTAGGTTCATCTTCAACGTCGACGAGACAGGCCTCCAGTGGAAGCTCATGCCCAGGGGCACGTACATTTCCACCTC